AAGTCGGGCTCCCTGGGGAACTAGCACTGGTGCGGCCAAGAGTGATGCGGCTCTCTGGCTGAGGCCCACGGAGAGCACCGGGACCAGCAAGGACCTGGGAGAAGACCGAGTGCCGCCCCAACCACACTGCACCCATATTACAGAGGAGATGGAGGCCGATGACAGGGAAGGAATGTGCTCCCCATCTCCATACCGACATCTCCTGACGTCCCCTCTCCTCTGGGAAATGCCCCTGGTCAGGCAGGGCGGGGGCTTTGGGTCGTGGGCACAGCTTTCCTTCAGTGATGAACCTACCCGAACAAAGGTGTCCATCACATGTTCTCTGGCCGCCTTGGAAAGCGTCAGCCGCTGGCCATTGAAGGCACAGATGCGAAAGGCCTCAGCGCCCCCAGGCAGGAGAAGCAGGAGCATGGCTGGGTAGTGCATGGCTGTGTGGGGACTGCTGGGACCTTCTGGAGGAATCCAGGCCGTCCCAGGGCACGCTCCCAGCTGGGCTCTGTTCTGCTTCTGAAAGGACATTGCAGTGTGGGACCGAGCCAGCACTGGCCTCCCAGAACCGGCCTCCCAGAACCGCCAGCATCATAGACCGCCTGCCTTTCTCCCCATGGACACCTTCAACACCAGCATGCAGGGCTCGACTTCACTTTTTTTTTTTTTTTTTAACGATTTTAAGTGGTGTGCCTGGGTGGCATAGTCAGTTGGGCGTATGACTCTTGATTTCGGCTCAGGCCATGATCCTGGGGTTCTGGGATCAATCCCACACTGGCGGGCCCCATCCTCAGCGGGGAGCCTGCTTCTCCTTCTCCCTCTGCCTCGTCCCCCCTGTTCATGCTCTGTCTCTCAGTCTCTCTCAAATTTCGAAGATTTTACTTTTAAGTAATCTCTATATCCAATGTGGGGCTTGAACTCATAACCCCGAGGTCTAGAGTCTCATGCTCCACGAACTGAGCCCACCAAGTGCCCCTCGACTTCATTCTTCTTAATTGTGCTAAAATACACATAGCATAGAATTTAGCATCTTGACTTTTTTTTTCACCATCTTAACCATTTTCAAACGCAGAGTTGAGTGGCACTAAGTACATCCACACTGTTTTGTACATTCACACTGCCATCCACCGCCAGAATTTTTCCAGCTTCCCAAACTGAAACTCTGTCCCCACTAGACACTCGTCCTCTATCCTCCTCCCCCCAGCCCCTGGCGCCCACCGTCCCACTTTGTGTCTCCATGTGTGTTTGTGACTGGCTGATTGCACTCAGCATGTCGTCAAGCTTCATCTAGGTTGTAGCATGTGTCAGAATTTCTGTCCTTTTTAAGGCCGGAGAGCATTCGGCGGTATGGATAAACCCAACTGAACTGACCTACTCGGCCGTTCATGGACACTTGGCTCGCGTCCAGCCTTGGCCGCTGTCAATCACACAGCTTGCGAATCTGAGTGCGCCAAGATCTCTTCCAGTTCCTGCTGCGGATCCTTTCGTGTGTATACCCAGAAGTGAAAACGCTGGGTCACACTTTTCTGGGGAGCCACCAGACCATCTTCCATAGGGGCTAACCCCTTTGTTCCATTCCCACCAACAGGTCACAAGAGTTCAACGTCACAGTGAATTCCAACTTTTCACCACCATTAACACCACGTATCTCTCTGCTTGGGAGATGCTATCTTTAAGGCAAACTCCCAGCAGCAGAATTACTGGGTTCAAGGGCGTACGCACTGGAACTCATCTCAGCCAGAGCAAACCACCCCTGCAGAGGGGGATGGGCCCTTCCCACGGCCCTGCCCCCCCAGACAGCCCATCTTGTTCAACCTACTTGCGAAAGCCCCCGCTTTTTGAGCGTCTCTTGGTTTACCTTGGTTTCAGATGCACTCAAACTTTGTCCTGTCATTTGGGTTCAGCCCCTTGCTTGATTCCTATCCGTGTCATTCTCATCTAAGCAACGTAAGTCCCTCTACTTCTGTCTGCCTGCTTTTCTCTGTCACCTCTGTAACCAGACTCAAGGTGTTCACCCCCTGGGGTGCACCACCTTGAACACAAACCAAGGAAGGGTTAAAAGCTAAGAGGGTTTTCGGGGCGCCTGGGTGGCTCAGTCATTAAGTGTCTGCCTTCAGCTCAGGTCATGATCCCAGGGTCCTGGGATCAAGCCCCACGTCAGGTTCTCTGCTCAGCGGGAAGCCTGCTGCTCCCTCTCCCACTCCCCCTGCTTGTGTTCCCTCTCTCGCTGTGTCTCTCTGTGTCAAATAAATAAAATCATTACAAAAATAAATAAAATAAAAGCTAAGAGGTTTTTAGTTCTTGGTACAAGTAAGGAGACGGGGGATGAAGCGTTGTCTCCCAGGACGTTAAGAGAGGAAGCTTTTATCCAGTGGGTTAGGGGTGAGGGCAGGGAGCTTACATTACATAGGCAGTTTGGGTTCAACTGTGCAGGCCTAGCAAGTCAACATGTTAGTGCAAACAACGTATGTTCAAAAAATGCTGGAAAAGTCCACCTACAGGAGACTTTAGTATTATAATGGGCTAAAGGGAGTTACTTTAGGACAACTCACGGCGGGGGGAGCAAAGGGACTTCTGTGCTCAGCTCCAATCTAGCCCCAACTGGCTCACAGGAGGCGCTATCAGGCAAGACACACCTAGCAAGGGGCTGTGAGGTGAGACGCTGAGCTGGCTGGGTGTCTCCGTGGCTGGAACTGTTGGTTTGGTAAAATAAACCATATTCCTTCTCTGCTTCCGTCTCTTCCCCCACTGCCTTCTACTGATAGCTTTCAGCCCTCTTATTTTTTAGAAAGATTTATTTATTTATTTATTTAAAATATTTTATTTATTAATTGACAGAGAGAGACACAGCGAGAGAGGGAACACAAGCAGGGGTAGTGGGAGAGGGAGAAGCATGCTTCCCGCTGAGCAGGGAGCCCAACACGGGGCTCGATCCCAGGACCCTGGGATCATGACCTGAGCTGAAGGCGGACACTTAATGACTGAGCCACCCAGATGCCCCAAAGATTTTAATTTATTTGAGGGAGGAAGGGAGGGAGGGAGAGAGGGAGAGAGCGAGAGTGAGCAGGAGGGAGAGGGGGAGAGAGAGAACCCAGAGCAGGCTGCACACTGAGCACAGAGCCCCACACCGGGCCCCATTTCACGACCCTGAGATGACGACCTGAGCCGAAACCAGGAGTAGGATAATTAACTGACTGCAACACTGGGGCACCTCTGCAACACTGGGGGTCCTCTTATTTGAGTAACTTCCCACTGCATCCCAGGTAACGTTTTGTCACCTCCCGCTCTGCCTTCCTCTATCTTCCTTGCCCTCTCTTCCCTGTTCTCCCTTCTTTGTCATCTAGTCTCTTTCATACTCCTGGCTGGGCTGAATGTCTGTCTCTCCTGGGCCACCTGCTCTGTCACTCATGCTGGCTTGGGTGCTCTGCCCTGGTTACTATTCTGGGATGTAGGAGCAGCCCCCGGCTGTCAAGGGAAGGCTAGAAGGCTCTGGGGTCAGGAGCCCACACAAGGGCCAAGGGCAAGAAGAACCACAGTGACTGTTTCTGGCCTCAGCCCAAAGCCCAGCCCAGGCCCAGGCTCCCAAGCTAAGTCTTGGCCCCCAGCGGTTCCCTTCCCCTTTTTCCCTTCTCCCCATGCAGGGGGCAACTTCCTCCCTCCCTCTGCTCAGAGGGCTCCCATACCTACTCAGACCAGCTCGTATCCACGCCTGCCGCAGCTGTAACCAGATCGCAACCCGTCTACGGAGTCGCCGCGGCGGTCTTGGCAGGAACCTTAGGGAAGAAAAGAGGAAGGGACTCTTCCTGACCCACCCCTCCGGCCAGGCGGGTCGCCCCACCCTTCCTGGCGCTGGGGCTGGGCCCCCCCCCGGGGCCCACAGCCGGACTCCACCTTCTCTGACCCACGTGGAAGCAGGCGCCTGCTGGAGGCCTGGAACTGTGGGCGGATGACAGCCCTGTGAGTCACAGAGATCGAGCCTCCGCGTCCCTATAATGAGTGGGGTCCCTGTGCCAAGGGCACGGGGGTGTGGGGAGCCGGCCCGCAAATGCAAACCGGGAGCTGTGCTCTCCCAGGCCCAGCCCTCAGTCCCCCACACGGGCTGCCTCTAGGCGGCACCTGGTAGGAAACACACGAGAGCCCGAGCTTGTGCCCGACGTCGGGGGAGCCCTGCTGCGAGCCTGGGGACCCCGGAGGACTAGAGCCTCCTCTCCGTGTCCCCAGGGCGCCTGCCAGCGTGGCTGCACACTTCTCCGCTCTCTGGTGACCCCAAGTGAGCCAGCCAGGCGCCCAGATTTCTTATTTTTGAAGCACCTTTCTATTGATTTTTAGAAAATGTTTCCAGGGGCTCAGTCAGTAGGGCATGCGACCTTTTCATTCAGGGTACTGAATTCAAGCCCCACGTTGGGGGTAGAGATTATTTAAATAAAAGAAGAAGGAGGAAGAGGAGGAGAAGGAAAATTAACAATGGCTTAGCGGATACAAGGCTTTCTTATGGGAATAGAAGTGGTGGTTGAGAATACTGGAAATGTGCTGAACGACAGGAAATACTATGTTATACGTGGTATCTTTATTATTTGGCATATGTTGCTACATATACATCACACATTACATGTTACATATATATACACATATTGTACAAAGCTGTAATATTGTAACTGCAAAATTGTGTGCAGTTAATTATGTGAAACTACATAATGTAACACATAACAGGTTACATACATAAAACATGGCATACAGTATAAAATGCTACAAAATATTACAAAACGGGTAATTCCGTTATATGAATTTTGCCTCAAAGAAAATAAAGGGGAAGAACTAAAGTAAAAGTGCCGTGAACTCCAGCCTGGAGTCCCGTCGTTGTGCTGCGGAGCCCGCTTAGCTGCGGACACCTCCGGACGCGCAGCCCCCGCCGCCGGGAACGTGCTCGGCGCGGCGCGGCGGGGCGGGGCCACACGGCCCCAGGACCCGCCCCCGCTGCCGTCAAGCGGCCTGATAGCCCTTTACGACAGGCAGCGAAGAGCGGGCCGCCGTCGCTGGCTGGGTTTCGGGCGGGGGCGCGGGGCTCCTGGCTGCCATCGCCGGGCCCGTTCGCTTCTCACTGCGACCCCCGGCTCCTGACCCCAGTAGCGGCTTGTCTGTGGCGAGAGAGCGGGGGCCGGCCCGGCCCTGGCCTGACCTGCGAGGTGACCTTGGTCGAGTCCCCTGCCGCGCGGAGCCCGTGTGGCACGGGCCTGTCAGAGGCCCAGTTCTCCAGCGGTCGGGGACACAGACCTAGAGCGGCCCCACAGGCTGCCCTGTGGCAGGGGAAGCGCCGGGCCACCTGGGGAGTGAGGAGCGGGGGGCTCGGTGGGGGCGGGGGAGATGCCCCTGCATGTGAAATGGCCGTTCCCCGCCGTGCCGCCGTTCACCTGGACTCTGGCCAGCAGCGTCGTCATGGGCCTAGTGGGCACCTACAGCTGCTTCTGGACCAGTGAGTGGGCCCAAAGCCGAGGCAGAGTAGGCCACGGCTCTCCACGCCCAGCCAGAGTTGGGGTTTGGGGTTGTGGGCGTGGGTAGGGGCCAGTTTGGCTGGGGGGAGCCCTGGGACCCAGGGAGAATGAGGCCAAGACCTCTTCCCACAGTTCGTCTCTCCCTCCAGAGTACATGAACCACCTCACCGTCCACAACAAAGAGGTGCTGTACGAGCTCATCGAGAACCGAGGCCCAGCCACGCCCCTCATCACTGTCTCCAATCACCAGTCCTGCATGGATGACCCTCACCTCTGGGGTACCTGGCACCAGGGTTCTGGGCGTAGGGAGGCATGGCGAGAACCCGGGAGGGGGCCACACAAAAGCAGAACCAACTCACTTCTCACTGGGCTCTGTACATATCCCTGGCACTCCTGTTCCTGCGTGTCTTGCGCCGACCATGAAAATATGATTGGTGGCCCCTTCAGTGTCCTCTCAGAAAATGACTTGGTAAGGGCTTCAGAAATTCGGAGGGACCGAGGAAGTGAGGAAGCAGCTGCAGGGCAGTCTGATGGCTGCTTTACTGTCGCATCAGGCCTGTGGAACCCTCCATTCTCTAAACTGTGGATGGTCCCACAGAGTATTAAAACAAATCTGAGAACCATAGGGTATCTTGTCAACGAAGGTGTGGGCTAGAGGCTGGGAGACCCGTGTCCTGCTTCCAGGTTTGCCTCAGGCTGAGTGTGTATCCTTTAACCAGCCTCATTTGGGAGCCCACTTTGCCACCTAGAAGTTCCTGCTCTGCTGACTTCACAGGAAGCTGCTTGGCTCCAGTAACCCAGATGGCTGGGTAGAAGGGTGCCCAGAGCTTTTATTGATGAATTCAGGAGGTTAGACTGTTGTAGAGCTCATGGGAAGCTAGTTAGTCAAATCAGAGCCTTTCAGAGCTCACCCTGGCCACTGGGCATAGAAGGGCCTATAGAGTGCCATAGGCAGACACCGGGGGACCAGGAGGGACCTTTTAGAGCCACTCAGTAACCTAGACTAGTGTGGTGGCAGCAACAGTGGAGGGAGAGGTGTAGAACAAGAGGCAGTGGCAAAAGATACCTGGGGGTAGGCAGGCCAGATGTGGCGACTAATAAGGTATGGGTGAGGGTGGGAAAGAGGGAGGAGCCAGGGACAACATAGGGTCCAGCCCCAGCGACTAAAAGATGCTGCCTTCAGCCATAGGGAAATGGTAGTGCTATTGCCTCTGTTCCTCATTCCCTGAAACTGGGTAACAGAAAAAGATGTTCCCTGGGGACAAGGCAAGCTGGGGCATAAAGACTTTCCTTCTCTAGGGATCCTGAAACTCCGCCACATCTGGAACCTGAAGTTGATGCGTTGGTGAGGAGGAATGGGCCCCTCGCAGTGGGCCTGGCAGGCCTCACCCATCTCTGCCCAGATTTGCCCTCCTCCTGCTCTGCCCAGGAGGCGGCATCCAGCAGTACAGGCAGGGCACGGGGTGGGGTTCCGCAGGCTCTTCTGTGCCTCCTTTCCACACTGCCGACGATGTCAGGCATCATGTTGGGGGAGGGCAGGGAATTAGGGTGCAGGGGAGGCAGGGATGACTGCATCTGTCCCTACTTCAGGACCCCTGCGGCTGCAGACATCTGCTTCACCAGAGAGCTGCACTCCCGCTTCTTCAGCTTGGGCAAGTGTGTGCCCGTGTGCCGAGGTGAGCTGGTCCTCCAAGAGGGGCTCGTGGGCGAGTGAATGCAGGGAGGCACTTCTGCAGCCTTCTGTGCTTTTCTTCGGAGCAGGGACTGGTGGTCAGTGCTTTTGCTTGAGCAGTCCTGGGAGTGGAGGGATCCTGCTGGGACAGCCTGGGCACAGAGGGGGCCAGCGGCCACTGCGCTGCTAGTGTGAGTCCCTGTTGCACTGCGTGGCTGCAGAGGTGGTACTGGCTGCCGGAGGAGCGAGGGCCTCGTGGAGAGCATGCATTTCCTGGGACTGCCTGAGGACTGTGTGAACCTGGACTGTGGCATTAGAAGCCAAGGAGGCATTGTCCACAGCTAAGAGACTCAGCAATGGGAGGCGTCATGGGTCTTCTGTGGTGGTGGCGTGTGCTGGAAGCTGCAGCGTTTCGGAAAACAGGCTTGCGGGGTGAGGGTGTGACACTGAGGGCCTCAGGAGGTGGGGGCCGTTTTGATCCCCATTCTCCAGATAAAGGGGTTTGGAGGAATTAAGCCGCTGGCCCAGGGTCATGGGGCGAGAGGTGGCAAAGCCAGGATTTGAATCCAGGTTGCTCTTTTGTCTGTGAAAGGACAATATTTTCTAGGCAAGAGTATGAAAGGAAAGGCATTCGAGACACAGGAAGTACATGCCAGGCCCTGAAAAGGTAAGCGGTAAATGTAGAAAACGTAGGTTGCAAGCCAGCCAAATGTGAAGGTTCTGGAATAATCGTGTTAAGAATTTTGGACTCTATTCCGTCATCAGGGCAGTGATGTGCTTCCTTCTGTGGTTCAGAGAGAGAAACCATTCCTGCCGCAGCGTGGCTGGTGGGGGGAGGGGGAGCAGAGCTCGGTGGAGGCCGGGAGCCCGGGTAGGGGCTCGTTGGGTCGTTCCGGCAGCAGCAGACCATCGTAGCTGCGCCTCTAGAGGCCGCTGCGGACAGCTGGAGGCAGAGTAGACAGGACTTGTTGACAGACTGGGTGTGGGAAGGGGACACTGAGCCACTGGGAGGATGGGACGGACGGCAAGCAGTGTGGGGGTTGAAGGGGAGGGTGTTGTGTTTTGCACATGTTTCATTGGAGGAGCCTGTGGTCCCAGAGGCAGTGGGATGTGCAGTTCCGGAGCTCAGAAGAGCGCTCGGGCACGTAGTAGGGACTCAGCGACTAACAGAGTTGCAGAAGTAGAGGAAGAGTGGCAGCGAGGGAGAGCGGACGGCCAGCAGGCGCTAGGACGGCAGCTTAGAGCGTGAACAGAGACAAAGGCCACCGGGGCAGCAGGAAGCAGTGGCCAGGCAGGAAGGAAGCAAAGCAGGGCCCCTTGGCACTGGAGAAGCCTCCAGGGACCCTGGAGAAGCCATTTCTGTGAAGTGACAGCCACAGGAGCTGCCAGGGCCAGGAGGGAGTGGGGATAGCAGGGGTGTCCACCCCTCCCAGAAGGTCCGTCATGAAGAGGAAGAGGGAGGAGGCGGTAACCAAAGGGTGTCAGAGGTCAAGGGAGAGTTTCTTACTTCTGCTGGAGAAACGCAGTAAAGTAACCTCAAAAAAATGAAGGGCTTTTAATGAAAAGCTGCAGCGCTCAGATCCTCACATCTGCTTTTTGGAGACAGCAGCTTTGAGTGTTTTCACTTCTTGCTGCGTTCAAAGGCCGCTTCATTTCTCCAAAACATGAGCAGAAGCTACAAGTGTTGCGGCTAGTGCCCGTGGCATCGTGTGATGGGAACTCTGCTCAGGTGCCTGATCTCAGGTCCTCCCTTCTGCGACCTCACACACAGGCTTTCTGTGTCCACATCTTTTTTCTTAAGTTTTATGTATTTATTTTTTAAGTTCATTTATTTTTTTAATGGGGTGTCAAACTCATGACCCTGAGATCAGGAGTCACATGCTTTTCCGACTGAGCCACCCAGGCGCCCTCCACGTCACCTTCTTGTCTTGTTCTGCTTTTTGCTCTGCATCTAAGTTTTACTGTACGGTTAAAACCAGAAAACTGGGGGTGCCTGGGTGGCTCGGTTAGTTAGGTGTCTGCCTTGGGCTCAGGTCATGATCCCAGGATCCTGGGATCGAGTCCCACATCGGGCTCCCTGCTCAGCAGGGAGCCTGCTCCTCCCTCTTCCTGCTGCTCCCCCTGCTTGTGCTCTCTCTCTGACAAATAAATAAATAAAAATTCTAAAAAATCTTAATTCTCAGCACCTTCAGTGAGAGAAAGTGGACAGGGACAAGCTATTTTTCAAACATATGTGACGTGGAGCAAAGATCTAACAAATTGTGTTAAAGGAAGTATCTGGCTTACTTGGCTTCTGTGTTCCAAAATACTCCATTTCCTTCCCAAGTACAGGCCTTATGATATGAAGTATCAAAGTGATCTTGGACAAGCCATGCAGGTGAGCAGAAGTAGCATTTGCAGAAGCTAAATACTCATGTGTTGTGCCAAAATCATGGTAGTAGTATTTTTTCCCTTTATTTATTTAAAATTCCTCTCTCTCTTTTTTTTTAAAGATTTTATTTATTTATTTGACAGACAGAGATCACAAGTAGGCAGAGAGGCAGGCAGAGAAGGGGGGAGGAGGAGGCTCACTGCTGAGCAGCGAGCCCGATGTGGGGCTCGATCCCAGGACCCCGGGACCATGACCTGAGCCGAAGGCAGAAGCTTTAACCCACTGAGCCACCCAGGGGCCCCTCTCTCTTTTTTTAAAAAAAGATTTTAAGTATTTATTTGAGAGACAGAGAGAGAGATCACAGAGGCAGAGGGAGAAGCAGGCTCCCCACTGAGCAGAGAGCCCGATGTTGGGCTCGATCCCAGGACCCTGGGATCATGACCCGAGCCGAAGGCAGATTCTTTTTTTTTTTTTTAAGATTGTATTTATTTGACAGAAAGAGAGAGATAGCAAGAGAGGGAACACAAGTACAGGGAGTGGGAGAGGGAGGAACAAGCTTCCCACAGAGCAGGGAGCCTGATGTGAGGCTCGATCTTAGGACCCCGGGATCCTGACCTGAACTGAAGACAGACACTGAACTGACTGAGCCACCCAGATACCCCTCATTCATTCATTCATTTTTTTTTTTTTAAAGTAGGCTCTATGCCCAGTGTGGGGCTTGAAAACTCATAACCCTGAGATCAAGAGTTGCATGCTCTACCAACTGAGCCAGCCAGGTGCCCCTAAGATCTCATCCTTTTTTAAGACTCAGGAATTTTCTCTGTGTGTATCTGCGTATACACCACATCTTTCTTCATTCATGTATCGGCGGATACATGGCTTGGTTCCCTATCTTGGCTACTGTGAAGCTGCAGTAAACACAGGGCTGCATGTATCTTTTTTAAAGAAAGTATTTATTTGAGCGAGAGAGGATGAACAGGGGCATAAGCAGAGGGAGAGGGAGAGGCAGACTCCCCGCTGAGCAGGGAGCCCGATGCGGGGCTCCATCCCAGGACCCTGAGATCATGACCTGAGCTGAAGGCAGATACTTAACAAACTGAGCCACCCAGGTGCCCCATCTGTATGTTAATTTTGTATCCTAAAATTTTATTAAATTCATTTATTACTTCTAATAACTTTTTGGTGGAGCCTTTAGAGTTTTCTACGCATAGTATATCATCTACAAATAGAGATAGCTTAACTCCTTCCTCATCAAAATGGATGCCTCTTATTTCTTTTTCTTTTCTTTTTTTTAAAAAGACTATTTATTTGAAAGAGTGAGGGAAAGCAAGAGGGAGAAGGAGAAGCAGACTCCTCATGGAGCAGAGAGCCTGATGTGGGGCTTGACCCCAGGATGCTGAGACCATGACCTGAGCTGAAGGCAGAGGCTTAACCCACTGAGCCATGTAGACACCCCTCATTTCTTTTTCTGGTCTGATCGCCGAGGCTAGGATTTGTAGTACAATGTTGAATAAAAACGGCGAGAGTGGACATCCTTGTCTTGTTCCTAACCTTAGAGGAAAATCTCAGTTTTTCTGCATTGAGCATGATGTCAGCTGTGGTCTGTCATAGGTGGCCTTTATTATGTTATGTTCTCTCTAAACCCTGTTTATAGGGGCGCCTGGGGGCTCAGTCGGTTAAGCATCTGCCTTCAGCTTAGGTCATGATCCCAGGATCCTGGGATCAAGCCCCACATCGGACTCCCTGTTCAGCAGAGAGCCTGCTTCTCCCTCCCCCTCTGCCGTTCCCTTGCTTGTGTGCTCTTTTTCTCTCTCTCTGTCAAATAAATAAATAAAATCTTTTAAAAAATAGAAAAAAGTAAACCCATTTTGTTGAGAATTTTTATCATGAACAGATGTTGAATTTTGTCAAAATGCTTTTTCTGGGGGTGCCTGGGTGGCTCAGTCATTAAGCATCTGCCCTCTGCCTTCGGCTCAGGTCATGATCCCAGGGTCCTGGGATCCATCCCTGCATCGGACTCCTTGCTCAGCAGGAAGCCTGCTTCTCCTTGTCCCACTGCCCCTGCTTGTGCTCCCTCTCTCGCTGTGTCTCTGTCATAAATAAATAACAATCTTTTTAAAAATGCTTTTTCTGCATCTATTATGATTATATGATTGTCACCCTTCATTTTGTTAGCGGGGTCACTAGCATTGATTCACAGATACTGAACCATCCTTCCATCCCTGGAATAAATCCCACTCCACGGTGGTGAATAATCCTTCTAACGTGTTGTTGGATTCAGTTTGCTGATATGTCGTTGAGGGTTTATGCGTCTGTGTTCATAGGGCTATTGTCCTGTAGTCCTGTCCTGACCTCTTTTTTTGTAATGTCTTTGGTTTTGGTATCAAGCTGATGCTGGCCTCACAGAACGTATTTGGAACCCTTCCTTCCTCTTCCATTTTTTGGAATAGTTTGAGAAGAATAAATATTACCTCTTCTTTAAATGTTTGGCAGAATTCACCTGTGAAGCCATCTGGTCCTGGACTTTGTTTGTCGGGAGTTTTGTTTTTGTTTTTTAAGATTTTATTTATTTGTTTGACAGAGATCACAAGTAGGCAGAGAGGCAGGCAGAGAGAGAGATGGGGAAGCAGACTCCCTGCTGAGCAGAAAGCCCGATGTGATGCGGGGCTCGATCCCAGGACCCTGGGATCATGACCTGAGCCGAAGGCAGAGGCTTTAACCCACTGAGCCACTCAGGCACCCCTGTTGGGAGTTTTTTGATGACCGATTCAAATAATCATTCCCTAGCAGTTGGCCTGTTCGGCTTTTCTGTTTCTTCCCGATTCCATGTTGAGTGTGTATCTCTCTCTTTCAGGTTGTCCAACTTTTTGTTGTGTAATTTTTCACGCTACTCTTGCGGTCCTTGGTGGATCTGTGGTACTGGTCGTTCGTTCTCTTCTTTTCTTGCTGAGTTTAGCTAGAGGTTTATCAATTTTATCTTTTCAAAGACCCAGCTCTTGGTTCCATTGATTTTTTTTAGTCTATTTCATTTATTTCCACTCTGATGTAATTATTATTTCCTTCTTCTACTAACTTTGGGCTTTGTTCTTTTTCTAGTTCTTCTGGGTGTGAGGTTAGATCACGGTTTTTCATGTTTCTTGAAGTAGGCGCGTGCCGCTCTGCATTTCCTTCTTAGAACCGCTGGCAGTGTCCCAGAGCTTGAGGAGCCTTGTAGTTTAGCATGATTTGCATTTCAAGCCAGATGGCGCTGTTGTACCAGTGAGGTTTGGTGGAGATGGACGGGGCGCTCTGAAGCCCCCTCCTACCAGGGAAAGCTGTGCCATGGAGGGGAAGCGCTGCTCTCCCGACGCCCTGAGAAGCCACCGGGACCGGCTGCTCCTCAACTCCAGCCCCTGCGGGAGCTGCTGGGTGAGGTTCCCACTGGGTTGGCTTTAGTTCAGCCTCCTGGACGGCTCTCTAGCACCTTCTAAACACTCGGCCTTGCAGAGAACAGGTTAAAAACCCATTTCCTGGTGTATTGATTTGAGATAGCCCCAGTGTCTGTCTCCTCATCTTTATGGTGTATCTCTCCCTCCTTGACGAGGCCACCCGTCACTGTCCACTTCATGGGCACGGTAGAGGTTCTGGCCGCGGGGTCACAGTGCGTCCCCACGGGGCTCCCAACTGAAGGCCAGCGCATAGCGTTGGGCACCCGTATCTGCGCTGTTGCTCACTGCCAGGCCCCCTGGGCTCAGTGTCAGGGTCTCCAGGTGTCTCTACGGTGGGTGCTGTTAGCCTTGGGGGCACTTAAACCCCCATTTTTTCAGCTTAGCGAGTTTGACTTTTTCCCGGCTCTCAGTGACACCACATGTCACATCAACGTTCTCCCTTTCCCAAGAGGCTTCAATAATGAGAGTCTAGTTTCTGGGGGAGCCCCGTGAGGGGCGAAGGGATTAGCCGGGAGGGAGGGATGGTGGAGGCTGAGCGCTCAGGCGGGGCTGGGAGGCCTGCGAAGAGTGGCTGTGGCGACTGGCCCAGCCGAGACCGCAGGAAAGGGTCACTGTGCGGGGTCTGAGGCCCTGGTGAGGCTGGAAATCACGAACAGACTTGGTTTGCTCCCGCAGTGCCCTTAGGGCCAGGGGTGGCAGACGGTAGGCTCGCCCCAGGGGTGGTGCACCCCAAGGAGAAAGGCTGCAAAAGCTGAAGGGGGACCAGGCCGGCAGGGAGCAGAGCCGGCAGGCCAGTCTGCGAGGTCGCACAGCGCCGGTGTCCGAGGCGCAGCGGGTGGGGCTGCGGGGGACCAGCGGGCAGAAGGTGGGCTTGGAGGCCGCTGGAGGAGTTGCCAGCTTGGAAGTTCAATTGGAGGCGGTTGGAGACAGTGATGCTGCCTTGTCCATGACGGGTACTTGGAGGGTTAGAGGTTACCATTGAACAAACGCCATCGTGGGCCCCAGGGCAACCGTGGCTGAGTCCCCAGGGACAGTGATTGGAGGGTGTCCGCGTGGCTGGTGCAGTGGGGATGACGGTGTCCTTGATGAGCTGGTGCAGTGGGGATGAGCTGCCAGGGCCAGGAGGGCGCCCCGGCAGAATGGCGACCGACGGCGTGGCCTTTTCCTTGCAGGAGACGGCGTCTACCAGAAGGGAATGGACTTCATTCTGGATAAGCTCAACCATGGGGACTGGGTGCACATCTTCCCAGAAGGTCAGTGGCGCTGGCAGGGTTGCGCACACCCCCAGCTTCCCAGCCTCACCCCTGTCCTGTCTCTCAACAGGGAAGGTGAACATGAGCTCCGAGTTTCTGCGCTTTAAGTGGGGTAGGCGTGGGGCAGGCGCTGCTGCCCGGTGGCCTGGGATGGGCGTATGGGCGGTGCCGGGGTGGGGCGCAGCGCCGGCACAAGGGCTCGCCTTGCAGAGGAGCCAGACCAGGGCAGTTGGTCTTAACCGTAGGCTGGCACCGAAACTATCCTTGTGCCAACGTTCCTGTCTCTCCCCGGGGCAGGAATCGGACGCCTGATTGCCGAGTGTCATCTCAACCCCGTCATCCTGCCACTGTGGCATGTCGGTGAGCATCCCTCTCGGGCCAAGGCTGCAGCCTGGGGGTGAGGCCAGGGAAGGGGGTGCTTCCCTAGGTTTGGGGAGAGTTCCACTGGGTGGCAGGGAGAGGGACCCCGGGGTGGAGGGGGCTGGGGCTGCCCTGCTCCACCCCATGCTTGCTTCCTGGCCTCTGTCCATTGTGCTGCAGGAATGAATGATGTCCTCCCTAACAGCCCGCCCTACTTCCCCCGCTTTGGACAGGTGGGTACGGGCTGCTGGCCTTCGTCTGTCTGTCTTGCCTGCCATCTGCCTCTTGTCTCCCACTTAGCACCACTGAGGCCAGATTCAGCTGCAGCAGGGGGACCGAGTGGAACAGAGAGAGAGGGAGTTCCTGGCATCGAGGCCAGTAGAAGGAGAGCAAGAGGAACCAGGCCGGGGGCGGGGAGCCCTGGGGTCTAAGCAGGACAGGATACCTAGAGTGGGGCCTGCAGGACTTGAATGTTTCTCAGCCTTTTTTTTTTATTATTATTTTTAAAGATTTTATTTATTTATTTGACAAACAGAGATCACAAGTAGTTAGAGAGGCAGGCAGAGAGAGAGAGAGGAGGAAGCAGGCTCCCCGCCACGGAGAGAACCTGATGTGGGGCTCGATCCCAGGACCCCGGGATCATGACCTGAGCTGAAGGCAGAGGCTTTAACCCTCTGAGCCACCCAGGCGCCCTTATTTTATTTTTTAAAAGATTTTATTTATTTATTTGACAGAGACTGAGCGAGAGCAGGAACACAAGCAGGGGGAGTGGGAGAGGGAGAAGCAGGCTCCCCGCTGAGCAGGGAGCCCGATGTGGGGCTCAATCCCAGGACCCTGGGATCATGACCTGAGCTGAAGGCAGACGCTTTAACCCACTGAACCACCCAGGCGCCCCATATCATCAATTAATTTTTGATGAGGGAGCCATGACCATCCAGTGGGGAAGAAATAGCCTCGTCAAGCAGGGGGAGCCGCAGAGGGAGAAGGAGGCTCCCCTCTGAGCAGGGAGCTCGATGTGGGACTCGATCCCAGGACCCTGGGACCCTGGGACCTGAGCCGAAGGCAGCCGCTTCACATGAGGGAGCGCGCAGCAAGTTGGGGGCAGGACTTAGCTTCTGGCTCTCCGGGGTGGTTGGGCCACGGCTTGTTTCTGTCACCCGCTGGTGGCTGCTCTCCCTGCAGAAAATCACGGTGCTGATCGGGAAGCCCTTCAGTGCTCTGCCTGTGCTCGAACGGCTCCGGGCTGAGAACAAGTCAGCTGTGAGTTGCTCTTTCTCCCCAGTGCCTCCCCCACCCGCCTGCCCTGGGCTACCCTGTGGCTGGCGCGGTCTCTCCTGGCACCCGCAGCCTCCCAGGGCCCCGGGCCAAACAGCCCAAGGCCCGCAGGCGAGCCCCTGTCCTTCTCCTCAGGTGGAGATGCGCAAAGCTCTGACCGACTTCATTCAGGAAGAGTTTCAGCACCTGAAGACCCAGGCGGAGCAGCTGCACAAGCACCTGCAGCCCGGGAGGTAGACATCAGCCTGCCACAAGCCTGCCAGCTCCTGTCCCCCGCCTGCTCCCTCTGGCCTCCAGGCCCGGGAAAGAGGCAGCTCCGACCTAGGACCCAGCCGCCTGCTCTCAGTGCTGCCTTTGGGTCCTTGCACAGCACAGGGCTCACCTGGGGGACAGACTGATGTTTTGAGGTCACATACATTTTTTTAGACAGATGTGTACATAAGCCCTGGCAGGTGTCCTGTCCTCGTCAGCAAGCATTACCCCCCCCCCCCCCCCCTGAGCCGCTTCAGTGGAAGGAAGCGTTTCAGATGCTCCTCCCACTTGGGCATGAAAGAAAGGAGAAACTTTGGCGGGGCTCCTCTCTTGCCTCCAGGTGTCCCCTTCCAGCACTGGCATCAGGATGGAGGGGACTTGAAGGGGGGCAGGTGGCCAGGCCGGAACTTTGGGTAGCGGTCCCTGAGGCCCTTGGCCTGGTCTTTTCCCACCTGCCCCGATCTGGGAGCTGCTCACCACCTCCTCAGAGACGGCTGCCAGCCTCATCTTCCTTCTGCCCACACTTTCCACAGGCGTGGGGTCCTCGGGCAAGGCCCAGCCCTGGGCTGCAGGCGGACGAGCCGCCTTTTGCCAGAAGCGGAGCCCCGCTGAACGGAGCCTGCGGCAAGGGGCTGAGACCCTGTCCCTTGCCCGTGTGCCCGGGCCCACCAGCTGCTCTGTCTTCCACCTCCCTGGCATCCCTTGAGTCCCATGGGACCTGGGTTTTCATGTTTTGTAACCAATAAAGCATCTGTGTTGTGTTTTACCTCTGGCTTCTTCACGGGTGGGGTCGTGAGGCGGCTGCTGGACAGGAAGGCTGGACCCTTAGAGCAACAAGGGCCCTTGAGCATACCAAGCTCTCACTGTAAACTTCAGTCATTATCGGGGCGCCTGGGTGGCTCGGTTGTGTCCAACCTTTTTAAGATTTTATTTATTTGACAGCATGCGAGCATACACGTGCACACATGGGGAGCGACAGGCAGAAGGAGAGGGAGAAGCAGGCTCCCTGTGGAGCCGGGAGCCCAATGTGGGACTCAATCCCAGGACTCTGGGATCATCACCTGAGCTGAAGGCAGACACTTCACCAACAGAGCTACCCAGGCATCCCTAAAACTCTTGATCTCAGTTCCGGTCTTGATTGCAGGGTTGTGAGTTCAAGCTCTGTGTTGGGCTCCATGCTGGACTTGGAGCCTACTTGGAAAAAAAAACAAAAACAAAAAACCTCAGTCATTATCTGTAATGCCCATAACAAACTAGCAAAAGTACGGATTAATCTTATTTTGCAAAGGAGGCAGAGTGAGCCTAACGGACTTGATTCAAAATCCAAATCCAGTAAGGTAGGGAGAAGCAGAGAGCAATTCCGTCCTCCCCAAGCTGGTTCCCGGGAGGGACAATGTCTCCAAAGGGCCCAGCAAGCCACTGTGAGCAGCACACGCTGTGATGCGAGGTGAGGGGGTCCTCCTTGGCTGAGCTCGAGGCCCTTGGTCGGAGCACAGGCCGGGCTGGTGGTGCTCCTGGTGGAAGCAGAAGCAAGCCCTCTAGAGCGAAGTGAGCTCCATCTAGGTCTCTAGTCCACCCATGAGTTAAGATCACCCCAGAAGACCACAAAGATCACCAGACATGAAGAGATGAAGCCCCAGCCTGCACAAAGCCCCGGAATCAGCAGGGAGTCAGACCATGGAGAGTAATAGAAATGTGGAAGGAAGGAAAGATGGAACCACGAGAGTGAGCCAGTGCGAAGAGAAGATCAAAGATGACCAGGACTGTAACTGCGTGACTCTGTAACTACTTCCAAATAAAAGTGTTTAAAAATAAGCAGAAGGGGGAAACTCACCTGGGGGGGGGGGGCACAGTGTTGGCCAATTTGCAGTTGCAGGTCCAGATGTGATATCACTTCCCCACATACACCCATTCTAACAAACAACTACAGATATTTACTGTATAGATGCTGTAATTCGATTTTTTCGTATTATTTTTAGAGTAGTTTTATGTTCACAGCAAAATTTGGCTTGTCCTGGGATGGTGAAATCCACTAATACCATTCACTGTATTAACTGTGTAAACCAGGAAACCTATATGGCTATTTCAGTAGATACAGAATATGCATTTGACAAAATACTCATAATTTTAAAACATTTTTAGCAAACTACTGGGAACTTCTAAAAAAAAGATTTATTTGACAGAGATAGGGGAGGAGGAGAGGGAGAGAGAGAATCTTAACCAGGCTCTACACCCAGCGTGGAGCCCGGTGCAGGGCTCCATCTCACAACCTTTTGATCATGACCTGAGCCAAAATCCTGAGTTGGTTGCTTAACCGACTGAGCCACCCAGGTGCCCCAAAGGGAACTTTCTTTCTTTCTCTCTCTCTCTTTTTTAAAGATGTTATTTATTTATTTGACAGAGAGATCACAGGTAGGCAGAGAGGCAGGCAGAGAGAGAGAAAAGGAAGCAGGCTCCCTGCTGAGCAGAGAGCCCGATGTGGGGCTCTATCCCAGGACCCTGGGATCATGACCTGAGCCAAAGGCAGAGGCCTAATGCACTGAGCCACCCAGGCGCCCCCCAAAGGGAACTTTCTTAATCTGAAAGAGTCTATCTACAAAAAAACCTTCCTTAATCTGATAGGAACCACCTATAAAAATAACTAGAGTAAATATTATTTTTGATGTTGAACTTTTTTTTAAAAGATTTTATTTATTTGACAGACTGAGATCACAAGTAGGCAGAGAGGCAGGCAGAGAGAGAGGAGGAAGCAGGCTTCCCATGGAGCAGAGAGCCCGATGCGGGGCTCGAGCCCAGGACCCTGGGACCATGACCTGAGCTGAAGGCAGAGGCTTAACCCACTGAGCCACCCAGGCGCCCCTTGATATTGAACTTTTAAAAACTTTGAGGATGTTTGATGATACCAGTGGTATCAGAGCAGTAAGACAAGAAAGGAAATCAAAGGAATAATGATTGTAAAGAAAGAAAGAAAACATTCATTATTTGCTGATTGTAAGATAGTCTACACAGAAAACCCAAATGAATTTATAATTTTTTTGAAATAGGGACTTAGAAAGTCTCCCAGCTATAAAATCAGTGTGTAGAAGTATCAGTTGTGTTTCTGTACACACAGCAGCGACAAAGAATTACAAAATATAATTGAAAACAAGACACCATTTACAGAAGCTAGAGGGTACCTAGGAATCAATCTGACAAAATATGTGGAAGACTCATATAAGGAAAATCTACTTTTTTTAAAGATTTTGTTTTTTAATGGAATCTCTACCCCCAATGAGGGGCTTGAGCACATGACCCCAAGATCAAGAATCTCATGGTCTACTGACAGAGCCAGCCAGGTACCCCCCATATGAGGAAAATCTTTTTTCCTAGTTTCTTTTTTAAAAATTAAAAAAATTAAAAAAAAATTTTTAAGATTTATTTATTTATTTAACATACAGAGAGAGATCATAGGTAGGCAGAGAGGCAGGCAGAGAGAGAGGGGGAAGCAGGCTCCCCGCGGAACAGAGAGCCCGATGCGGGGCTCGATCCCAGGACCCTGAGACCAGGGCCTGAGCCGAAGGCAGGGGCTTAAGCTTCTGAGCCACCCAGGCACCCCTCTTTTTTCCTAGTTTTATTTTAGTTTGAGAGAGAGAGAGAGAGTGTGTGTGTGTGGATGCAAGGGGGAAGGGGCAGAGAGAGAGAGAGGGAGAGAGAGAGAATCCCAAGCAGGCTCCTTGCTGTGTATGGAGCCTGACTTGGGGGTCAATCTCACCACCCTGAGATCATGACCTGAGCCGAGATCAAGAGTTGAATTCTTACCAGTTGAGCCACCCAGGCGCCCTACATGAGGAAAATCTGAACACTTTGTTGAAAGACATTAAAGAAGACCTGAGTCAATAAAGATCCCAAGCTCATGAACAGGAAGATCTGAGAAGAATGAAGATGTCAGTTCTCTGGAACTGAGCTATTGAATATATAGATTAGGGGTGGTCGGGGGGCTCAGTCGGGGAAGTGTCCACCTTCAGCTCAGGTCGTGATCCCAGGGTGCTGGGGTTGAGCCCCATGTCAGGCTTTGTGCTCAGCACAGAGTCTGCTAGAAGCTCTCTCTCCCTCTGTCCCTCTGCCCCCACCCCGCCCCACACTCTTTCTAATAAATAAATCTTTAAAAAAATAAAAATAGGGGCACCTGGGTGGCTCAGTGGGTTAGGCCTCTGCCTTCGGCTCGGGTCATGATCTCAGGGTCCTGGGATCGAGCCCCACATCGGGCTCTCTGCTCAGCAGGGAGCCTGCTTCCTCCTCTCTCTCTGCCTGCCTCTCTGCCTTGCCTACTTGTGATCCCTCTCTGTCAAATAAATAAATAAAATCTTTTTAAAAAATAAAGTAAATAAATACATTGGATTCGGGCTCGCTCTAAGGAATGCAGCATGACCTCATCGTAGCTAATTACATTTGCCAAGAGCCTATTTCCGAATAAGGTCACGTTCTGAGGGTCCAGGTGGCTGTGAATTTCCTGGGACATTATCCAACCCAGCACATATACCCTAGGACCTGGAAAGTCCCCACCTAGTAATGCACACCACAGGACGTATCCGCGATTGTTGGCAGCACCGTCGGCCATACTAAGCAAAGTGGGAGACCACTCAAATGTCCTTCGCCAGCGGAATGGCTCACTGGCCGGCAGAATATTTATCTAGGGGATATTGCCGTCATATTCAGAGACGCATACTTAATGGGTACCAGCGTCTGAATGTTGGTGTCCGCCCCCAACCGCCATCAGATTCCCGTGTTGAAACCTGGAGCCGTCATCACTGGGATTAGCGCCTCCTGACAGGCCCCAGAGAGCTCCACCCCTGCCACCCGGCGAGGATACAATGCAGGGTTTGCAACCTGCACAGGGGCCCTCACCCCACCCCACGGCACCCTGATCTTGGACTTCCAGCCTCCAGAGCTGTGAGCAAGTAATCTTTTTCTTTTTTATTATTATTTTTAAAATTTCTGCTGTTGATAATGACCCAGTCTGTGGTAGTTTGTTCAAACAGCTGCAACAAATTAATGCAGTTGGTAAAATCATAAGAACCGACGTGCTGATCACAGAAGTTAGGTTCACGGTCACTTTGGGGGACGTGAGAGGGAGGCGATCAGCAAGGACTGAGAGGGGACTCGGGGGTATATACATTTGAATTCTTGAACAGGACGATGCCAAGGGAGTGTTTTGGTTTGCTTTGTCTTGTGCCCTTTTCCATCTTTTCGGCCAGC